TAATGTGTTCTCAATACAAGGTCTTTAGACCACTGGTCGTCCCTCTCTTATTTTAAGTGGAAATGAGAGAAAAGGGGGGTGATAATACATCTAAGAAAAAAATCCTTATCTGTTTTTAATTTTTCTGAGAGGGATACATTTTGCATTTGTTTAATTGAATAGTTATTAGAATCCAGAAAATAAAAATTGAGATTTAGGAAGTCTCTTATATTCAGAGCTGTTGAATCTTATTCATAATGTTTCCCAGAGAGCATTCATTTAGTCTGATTTATAGAGAGAGGGAAGGAGAAATTATTAAGATTCCAGTGATATGTTCACAGAACATATCAGGGTTCATAAGAACCCTACACAGAACTAATTGTGTTGAGTTATAGCTGGTTATTTATTACTGCTCACGCAGAGTGTTTATTCTGTGGTCAGGTATCACTTAGGCTTAATAATGATGATGTTTGCAGAAGAGAGAAGACAGATCAACCAGTTAGGAATGAAGACTATCAGCTGGGCAATAGTGTGAATGTGGAAAAAACAAAACAAAACAAAAACTGGTTAGATAAGATGAGGGCTGATAATGAACAGAATGGAAAGCAATCATGAGAACTTGAACTTCTTGCATTAGGTAATGTTGTTGTTGTTGTTGTTATGTGCCATCGAGTCGGCCCTGACTCATAGCGACCCCTCCTTGGGTTTCCGAGGCAGTTATCATTACAGAAGTAGGATTGCCCAACCTTCCTTCCAAGGAGTGGCTGGCATTAGGTAATAAGGGATCTTTATTGATTTTTAAGCAGAGGGAACTATGTGATTGAGGAGTTATAAAGATATAAAATTATTTGGAATACTAAACTTAAGGTACAAGTAGACATTGTACTGGAATTTATATTATCATGCTCTTTAAAGCCCAGTTGTGCTTATGATGTGTGCTTATATTAATGGTTCTTAATCAAGGGGCAATGTTGCACTGCCCACCACTCTGCTTCTGGGACATTTGGCAATATCTGGAGACATTTTTGGATGTCACAACTGGGGAGGAAGGTGCTTTTATCGTCTAGTGGATGGATAAAAAGGCCAGGATACAGCTAAACATCTTACAGCCCTCACAACAAAGAATTATCTCATTCAAAACGTCAATGCCAAGGTTGAGAAATTCTGATTCATATTTTTAAAATACTCAATTGTCTCTTAAATCACTGAGAATAAAAGGGACTTTAAGCTGAAAGATACATTAGAAATGAAATCATTGAAAACCCCGTCAGCTTATAGATATGGCTGGAAAGCTTAATTATCTTGTCCCAAATCATAGTTTACTAAAGAGCATAATTTTGAATAATCAGTTCCCACACCTTAAGAAATAGTTTTGAGACCAATTATATTTGTTTGTAGATATTATGCATTTATATTTATATTATAGGGTTTATTTATATATTTTAAATAAGTAGTATGATTATTGTATAGGATTCTTATTGGAATTATTTAAATTATTTCCAATGAATTTCAAACAGAGCAAGATGTGGGTTGCTGGAGAGTTCTGGGAAAGAATTTCATTAAGTCAAATCAGAAGCTGAGAGGTGACTTAGAGAAATAGGCTTACTCCATGGCCCATATCTTCCTTGAAACACATCCAGAGTTGAGAATCTCCTTTTTGAAATATATTTGAGTTAAGAATTAGTTGAAAAGAATTAGTTAAAAAGTAAAAATTTGTGTGAATGTGTATGTATTTGGGGAATGCAAAGAGAAATGCTTTGTTAAGTAATTCTTCAGACACAACAGTTAAGGTTCTGAAGAAATTAACTATGAAAAGAACAAGTATATTTTTAGCTTTCTCTTCACTTGTTTTACTTGAATTACAATACTGTAGTATTATTGAAACAATATTTATCATAATTTTCTAATATTCCACTATAATAAGGATATTATGTATGAAATGTTACGTTTTTTCCAATAGGCTAGCTGCACTCCTTATGGATTTTTTTCCCAGTACATAATCATTACGGGAGAAAATACAATCACTACTTCCTACAGTTAGACTTCGACTTTTTTTTTTTTTTTAATGTATTTTATTTTTTTTATTCTTGTTGTTGAGAATATAAACAGCAGAAAATTCACCAGTTCACCAGTTTCCACATGCACATTTCAGTGACATTGATGACATTCTTCAAATCGTGCAACCATTCCCACCCTCCTTTTCTGAGCTGTTCCTCATTTGTGTTAACATTAATACAAATTCACTGCCCCCTAAGTTTCCTGTCTAATATCTCAAGTTGCTGTTCTCAGTTTAGTCTCATATAGATAGTTCTTCAAAAGCACAATGCTAAGTAAGCTAAACTATTGTTTGGTTTGAAGATTACTTCATGGGATATTAGTTTTAAGCTAATAGGATAATAGTTTCAGGGTTTCATCCAGCATCAATGGCTCCAGAATGTCTGGATTCCATGGGAATTTGAAACTCTATTCCGTATTTTTCCCCTTTTGATCAGGATTCTTCTATAGAATATTTGATCAAAATGTTTAGTAAAGGTAGTAGGGCACCATCTGTTTCTTCTGGTCTTATGGCAAATAATAACCAGTGACTCAATAAAATATTTTCAAAATTAAAACAGGCAGTCATTTATTAAAAACTTATTGGATACCTACTATATGCCAGTGACTCTGTAAGTGACAGATATAAAATAATAACAATAGTGATCTTCACCATCATTTTAAAGAAAAAGTTAATAATTAAACCAATTTGATTCCCTTTCTAGCATTTTTTTTTTTTAATTTAAGTAACCTTCTATGACATTCAATGTAATTGTAAAGGAAGGATTCCTAACATTTCAGAACTAAAATTCCACATATTTTAAATAAAGCATGGGAGATAGGAGGCAGGGAAAGGTAAAAGTTAAAAAATTACTAAAAAATCGGTTTTGTAGGAGATGTATATACTTTATGGATGATTTGGAGTTCCTGGGTGGTGCAAACTTTTAAGCACTAGACTCCTAGCCAAAAGGTTGGAATTTCAAATCCACCCAGAGGTGTCTTGGAAAACAGGCCTGGCGTCTGCTTCTGAAAGATCACAGCATTAGAAACTCTATGAAGCAGTTCTGTCCTACACACATGGGGTTGATGACAACTAACAACAATATGGACAATTTAATTTCTGACTTTGATAGTGAAATGTAAATTTGTTATAAATGTAAAGGTAACTAGAAGACTAGAAAACAATATGTAACTTTCAAGCACTTGAGGAAATAGAACAGAGGGAATTTGGTAAAACTTGCATAAAACAGAAAGAGAAAACTATAACCAAGTTTAGATGAATGTACTGTGTTCAAATTTTTCTATTTGAGAGTTGTGATTTAAATATAAAGCATTTTCATGTACTCTCCATTTTTTTCTTCCTTTTTACAAGGTTTGGAACCTTATATATATCAGAAAATGAAAAGTAAAGAAATTGAACGACATGCTGTGCAAGTTAGTAATTACCTAAAGCAGTCTCAAGAGGTAAAAACATCTTATTTAATAGTTTGCTTTTTTTAAAAAAAACAGTGCACATGAACACACATCTTCATGCAATTGACTGTGTCTGTTTTACCTGATTTTTCTTAAGTTATGAATTTATGTTTTTTTTTATTAGTATTAAATTTAGATCTTTGTTTCAAAACAATCTAATTTTTTCAAATGCCCACATTCTTTTCTTTTTTACATTATTCATTTTTTTGTTCTTATAAAATTCACCTATCCACCTGATAGTTTATTCTGGGGATCGTTTGCATGAGAAGAAACTCAGGAGTTTTTGAAACTGTTTTCAAATATATGAAAGTTCTCAGGTGGGAGAAAAATAAGTTATTTTAAATACAGTTTTAAGAGGTAGATCTATAATCGGCCAATAGAAGATAGTGGGAAAAAGGTTGGAGAATTTTGTAGTGAATGGGCTCTCCAAGGATGGAATGGTTTATTTCCTGAGGTGGTGAGTTCTGTCATTCTTCAAGCATAGGCTGAACAAACCCCTTGGCAGATGTGATGGAGGGGATTCCAACATTTCAGAGTAAAGGACTATCAGTGTTTCTCCAATGCTGAGATTCTCTGATTCTGCGATCTGTCTAATCATAGCAGAACAAACATCTGCCTTGTTTTAGTGCCATCCACCATGTGGATAGAGTGATCTAAGACACCTAATTTTGGTCTTGCTTTCACTGATATTTATGTGAATTTGGAAAGCATATGTATACAGACAACCTCAGAATTTCTTGTAGGAGTGTAATCTGTGAAAAACTTTAAAAGTCAAATATTTGTAAGGCTACTTGAGGGTAATTGGAAGCAAGGATTTATGTTCAAATTCTGGCTTCGCCAATTCTAGTTTACAAAACTATGCACATCAACTAGACTACCAGCTTCATTAACGGTATCTCTAAACTGGGGCTAATGTCCTTATGAGAATATTGATAATTGAAAACAAAAATAACAACCGTAAAAATGCCTGAATAATGCCTGAAGTATACTAGGTCTCCAGAAATATTAGTTGAATCTAATAGGAAATAGAATGAGGTACATGCAAATAATGTTTAAAATAGCTCAATTAGTAGAGACTTTATCTTTACAATCATCAATGGAGACAACCTATTAATGATAAAAAAACCAAACTCACTGTCGTGGAGTTGGACCCAACTCATAGTGACCCTTCCTCGGGTTTCCGAGGCAGTATCACTACTGAAGTAGAGTGCCCAGCCTTCCTTCTGAGGAGTGGCTTGTGGGTTTTAACCACCAGCCCTCTGGTTAGCAGTCAAAAGCCTTAGGCACTACACCATAGGACATACTAAAGTAATCATGCTTGTGGTCTGTCAACTTTGACTTCCATCCTTTCTTTCATGTCATTAACTGATTTCGACCTGTTTTCATTAACATTTGCATATTTTACATTTTCTCTCCAGATGTCCTCATAAAATTAATTTCATTCAGTTAAAGTCCATCACCACATTGAGTTAGTTTCCCTTATATTGTGTTAACATTTAGGCATCTTTCTAGCCTAATGGGTTTAGTATGTGGATTAAAAGAGAAATATTGGGCTAGATGAATGAAAAGAAAAATCTGTCCTTCATAGAGTGTGTTTTGTGATGATATTACTGGAAGCTCAGGATGGGAGTTTGTTGGGTGTACATGGAATGACCTCTCCCTTTGCAGGATCTGAGCAAAAACTCTTGGTGGAATTCCAGGGGCAAAAACCTCCACAGGAACTCCTTGTGAGTATTTCTGAATTTTTCTCTCATTAAATATCTTTAACTTTGTGTCTTTTTTGTCAACCTAATCGGAAGCAAAGGTTTAATTTGGTCAAAAAAGGGGGGAAAAGTGCATGTGAAATGACAATTTTCTTCTTTTATTAGCAAGGATGAAAATCATTTATTCTCCAAGTTTTCCTGTTTCTGGCAACAAGATCTGTGCCTTTTAAGACTATAATGAGACATGTACTTCTACAGCAAATTAAGCATTAGCCTTTCCAGTGTCAAAAAATGGAGTAATGACTATTGTGACTTTTCTGATAGATAAGATTGCAAATTTGCATTGAGGAGTGAAAATAAATCTGCTTTGCCTAAATAAAAATACTTAGATTAGAGATCTGATTACATTTATTTTTTAGTTTTAAAAAATAATTTTTTTTTCCCCTAGATTTTCCTTTTAGCTTATGAGGTTAATTTTTCTCATTTTTTTCTTTGGTTTTTCAGTAATTTTCCAATTATTTGCCAAAGCCATAAGGATTGGGACAGAGAAAGACAGAGAAAAAGGGAGAAGGTGGGGAGAGGACGAGAGAGAAGGGAAACTCACATGCTTGTGGACTTAAATAGCCTCCTGGAATTTTATTTATTCGGAGAAGTAAACAGTTAAGCCCTTGGCTACTAACCAAAAGGTTGGTGGTTTGAAACTACCCAGAGGTATCTCGGAGGAAAGTCCTTGTGATCTACTTCTAAAATGTCACAGCCATTGAAAACCCTACGGAACACACTGCTACTCTGACAACGTGGGCATCACCATAAGTCAGAATGGACTCAGTGGCAATTGGCTTTTTCGATTTTCCGTTTTTTGAATTTTACTTATTTATTCAGAGAAGTAAATTTTGAAAACAAACAAAGCAAAGATTATTTCACTTTTAGTGTTTTCCAAAACATCATCAAATTAGCTGTCTACAGATCTGTGGAGTTGAGGGTAAGGGGGAAGAGATTTAAAATTATCTGCTCTACAGAGAGGCCGATTGACATCAAGCAGGTAGAAGGTGACTTACATTCAGCAGTCTGCTTCCATGTGAGACGTTCTTTCTTCTGAAGCTCACATCACATTCTCTCTGTGCAAGCCTGCCTGCAGACTCCAAGGGCACATGACTCTCTTCACCCGAAGGTTCAGTAGTTTGTACTCATGCAGAGTTGTGGGTTATTGCAGCATGAAATTAAACAATAATTGTAATTGTACTTTCTTCCCTAAGGACCTTAAATACTGGAGATATTCTTTGAATGCATTTATTCAGACTTGCCTGTGGCTACTTGTGCACTTGAGCAGGGCAAGTAACAATTTAAAGAGACTTAATTTCAGCCTGTGAACATTTAGGGGCCACGTGGGCTAATGAAACTGATTTGTAGGCTTGTCCGAAGACATTCACAGGCTCATTTGTAGGCATCTACTTTGCATAGTTCAGTAACCCTTTAGTTTAATTGATCCAGAGCAACACAAACACAGTTAAATCTTATATATATATTATGCGAACACATAGCTAATTTAAGAAAACAACTGCTTTTAGTTAGCTTTGGGCACACAGTAAATGAATTCCATGACTATCTGGTGCTCATTTTCCTATGAAAATAATTGTACAGTGGTAAACTATTTATTGATAAAGAAAATCAGTAGATGTAACTGATACTTACCTTTCAAAGAACTTTATGTGTGTGTGTGTTGTTAATGAGCTCTGGTTGCTCAGTGGTTAAGTGCTTAGCTGCTAACCAAAAGGTCAGAAGTCCAAACACGTCAGCCACTCCATGGGAGAAAGATGTGGTAGTCTGCCTCCATGAAGATTCACAGCCTTTCAACTCATAGGTTGAATATGTATACATATATATACCAAAGGGAGCTCTGGTAGCATAGTGCCTAAGGCATTTGACTGCTAACCAGAAGGCTGACAGTTCAAATCCAGCAGCCACTCCTCAGAAGGAAGGTTGGGCAATCTACTTTTGTAGTGATATTGCCTTGGAAACCCAAGGACGGGTTGCTATGAGTTGGATCCGACTCGACAGCAGTGAGATACATTGAGTTATATACCAAAGATCATTAGGGGAAGGAGGAAGGGGGAAAGGAGAAGCTTTTATTTGTGGGGCATTTAGTTTATACTAATGGTGGTGGAATATTTTGGAAAAGAATAGCAATAATGGTGGCACAATATGAATGAAAAATGTCATCAGTGTCCTTGAGCTCTAAATGGGGAAGTTGTTATGTGGGCAGATGTCTTAGTGTGTATGTTTTCACCACAATTAAAAAAAAAAAAGAGATTCGGTGCTACTCTGTCCTATAGAGTGGCTATGAATTGAAATACACTGGTAGCTTTGAGTGTTTTTTTCAACTGCTGTGTTGTTGTTAGGTGCCATGGAGTTATTTTTGATCCAGCAATCCCATATGACAGAGTAAAACTGCCCATAGGGTTTTCTCGGCTGCAATCTTTATGGGAGTGGATTGTTAGGTCTTTGTTCTTCAGAGTCATTGGGTGGGTTTGAACTGCCAAGCTTTCAGTTAGCAGCTGAGTGCTTAACTGTTGTGCCACCAGGTCTCCATCCGTATCATCTATGTTACTATTTCACCTACTTTTTCCTTTCTTTGACTATTGAACAATTTAAAGCATGATTTAAACAACTTCAATTTTTTTTTTCAAACAGGTTGAGAAGTTCAAATGGAGTTGACAGTAAGTTTTTACATTTAAAGCTTTCATTATTTTTTTATCTTATGAATGATAAGGTTCACTGACCTGCTGAGATTTTTATAGTTTTAGAAATTCTATTTATGATTTTTAACTAATATACAAAGTAGGAAGTT